CCTTTGATCCAAGAAGTAACTAATGTTTTCCTAAGTGCAGCTTAGCGGAGAGTAAGTATTAAGAAAATTAATTAACAGTAATTGTACCGCGCGTAAGAAGAAGGTTAAAAAGCGGCGGGGAATTGTTTACGCGGTTACTTGCAAACCGCGCTACTTTTAACAAGGTCTGCAAATAAGAATTTCCGAGCCGGTTAATTCGCGCCATTCCCCGCCGCGAATTTATGACCTCGTGAAATTGTTCATGCTCGTTTTCTCGTCGCAATTAGCTTGCGAAAGCTCGTTTATTGGCCTGCTGTACAAAAAAAAAAAAAACTGGAACCAACGTTCAATTTATACAACTATGCACCCAATTGACAGTGACAATTGCCACGCGAACCAGTTGGCCAGTTTGCAGTCGATAGTGAACATGCATTTTTACCACGCTAAAAGAGTTCAAAACTAACTTTTTATCAGTGCGATTTTATTGTCTGCTCGTCTTCTCACTATCTGTCAAACAGCATAAAAAATCATTAAAGGTGATATGAAAGAGTCATTCTATACATATAAAACGTCAAAATATTTATAAAGCTTTGCACCGATTCGTTGAAAACGTCGGCATATAAATATAGAGGCTCTAAGGAAGAACGTGGTGCGCGTGAAATTTCATATTTGATAAACAATTTTTTTTATTTATCCCAGACTAGAACGAATAATACATATTTCTTTTTGAAAAATGAAATTTCGTGAACACCGCGTTCTTATTTAGGGCTTTCATAATCACGTGCTGAAGGTTCAAATGATTCGGTGCACCCAGTTTGGAGAAAAGCTTTGTAAATATTCTGACTTTTTTATATATATAATTGACCCTTTCGTATCGCCTTAAACAACTTACCTTTTCATTTTGTGATCTAACAACCGGATTGTTTTCCTAACAAGGGTTGGATCCTGCCTTACCGCTTATTACAGCGGATATAATGATTAACGCAAAAGACGGGGAGCATGTACAAATCNCGGAATGTTTAAATTTTACAATGTTAAATTTACTATTGAATTTTTCATATTATAAATTTGCAGCATTAGAATATTGTAAGGTGATATGAAAGGGTCGTTCTATATATATATATTAAATTAGTATACATATTGGTATTAAAGGACGACAATACTTACTTATTAGTTATGACTCCATCCTTTAAATTAGTTCCATCTTGAGGAAGGAACGTGTCCAACTCCGTGGGTCCAGTGTTACTGTCGTTCACCTTGAAATAAACAAAATAATTTTGCAACGGAACCACATTTAACAGAAAACGGTAACAATCTTTCATGTGTGCACACTACATAATTATATAATTAATAGACAGTTCCGATGAACTTTACTCACCATTTTCCTTCACCTTTGATCGCACTTCAAGGTTCGTCACCTAGAAAATAAGCATTTATTATTAAGTGAACGGTAATTTATAAATCGTACATCCTATAAATATTTTATAAATCGTATCCTCAAAAGAACTCTATTCGTTTAATGAAAAATAGAGTCGTTTAATTATTCCGAAATTAGAATAAAATAGAATAATCGTCACGATACGAAGTACAATGTGCGCGGACTAATTGGGGTATCTATTATTTATATATTAAGTTAAAGGAAAACTGTCAATGGACTCAATTGGACATAGTGCACCGTAACGCCGATCTTCGTAAAGGTTATTCATTAATTTTATTGGAAAGGGATTTTTGTTTTGTGCCCCTTTTTTCTGTAGTCCATTACACCGTAAGCTCGTTTATAAAAAATGTGGTATCCCGCATTCTGGGATGTCAAGTCGTGTCATAAACTTCACGGAAACATAAAAGAATATACGACAAGGAATCTAAAAAGTATACATTATTCATTTATTCAATCGTTTATTAATAAAATGTTTAACAGACGATAGGGGATGTTTCATTTACGTTGATGCTCCGTTTGACCGTGTCAAAACCGGCGGAATATTAATTTCGACTTTAATTATGCAACAGCATCATGACAATTGCAAGATAGTCGACAAATGTCTAATTATATCTGAAGTGTCAAACTTCACCGTATTCTTCGAACTTTGCCCATTTCTTCACGATATCTATCTCTTTTCAGTTCTTGTCTCGCCAGACAAGGAAACTCATTGGCATGCCAATGATAAGGATCACCAAGATTCGATCTGCTGTCTGAAAATGGCTTTTTCTTATGTATAACTAGTAGATTATGCGTAACTTCGATTACATCCGTTCGCCGTTATCGGGCATATCATGAGACGATAATAAAGGAACACCAGACGTTAAAATGACATGCCCTTCTAATTTGTTATTGATTTTACAAATCGGTGAAAGCTTAGATACATTTCTAAAATTAATACCCTTTTTCTTTTATCGAGGATCCTTGGATATTACATAAAAATCCACGGTAAAAATTACCGCGTTAAATTCGACACGAATATTTAAATACCTCAAATGGAATTAAATTAACATCAGCTATACACTTCGGAATGTTTAAATTTTACAATGTTAAATTTACTATTGAATTTTTCATATTATAAATTTGCAGCATTAGAATATTGTAAGGTGATATGAAAGGGTTATATTATATACATATAACGTCAAAAGTATTTTAAAAATATTTAAAATGAAAATCCACACGTTTTGCTCCCATAATGAAATAGCGAAACGAAAATATTATAAACATTTGCCGGGGTTTTTTAATACCAAATGAAGTGTCCGATAATAATCGTGAAGTAAAAAATGTATTTTTATTACATGTTCGTAGATTAAAAAATATTAATTCCATATATGTTTATAAATTATTAAAACTAAATATGCTATTGAGATTTTCAACGAATATTTCAGATATCTTCGAATGAAATCTACAAGAAATCTTAAAAAATCTGTCGCTTGAGATATCTAACAAAGATTACAAACAAATATTTAGAAATTATTCTATGCTACTAGGGGAGTTTCTTGATATTCCTTTTTCTTAAATTTACGTTACGTGGAATGTTTATTGGCAATATGAGATATCAAGAATATTTACCAGTCGTACTTTTATTGTCATACCATTTAATTTATTTACCATTTCCGATGATTTATTTAATGATTTCCTGCCGAAATAATTGAAAATGCACCTCAAACGTCTGTAATAATTATTTCCTTATGCGAGGAATGTTTGTTTAGTTCTCAATTTTTTTTCCTCACCTAGAGATAGACGACACGAAGTAACCGAAACACATTTTTGCAATTAAAGTATCACCGAGGTGGGCCAGGAATTTTTTGAAATTTTGAAATTTGGGGAGGAGAGACTTATACTCCTGCGGCAGAAACTTTGGCTCGACTAACCCAAGAGAGCCAGTCGAAGTCAAATACATTCGAAAATAAAAAAAAAATGTTTACTAGTAATATTACGGATTCTTATGATGATAGTCTTGAGAAATAGAAATGTAGTTTCGGGAACGCGATTGGTAGATCGAAATCCCTGTTTATCCCACTCTATAACTAGGAAAGGACGGCAATGCTTACTTATTAGTATTAAGTAAGCATACCAATAGTGTACTTATTGGTATTAAGGTGATATGAAAGTGTCATATATACATATCAAAATGTCAAAATATTTGTAAAACTTCTCCAAATTGGGCGTACCGAATTATTTGAAACTTTATCACGAGATTATGGAGGCCCTATGAAAGAACGCGATGCTTGTGAAATTTCATTATTCGGAAAAAAAATTTGTATTTGTCTCGGATGAGAACCAAACAAGACATATCTTTTTTTTTTCGAAAAATGAAATTTCACGAGCATCGCGTTCTTCCTTAGGGCCTGCATAATCATGTGTTAAAGTTTCAGATAATTTGGTGCACCCAGTTTGGAGAAAATTTGCATAAATATTTTCACACATATATATATAAGGTGATATGAAAGGGTCGTTCTATATATCAATATNTATATATAAAACGTCAAAATATTTATAAACGTTAAATTACTCCAAACTGGATGCACCGAATCATTTAAAACATCAATTCGTGATTATGGTAATCTTAAGGAAGAACACGATGCTCATGAAATTTCATTTTTCACAAAAAAAAATATGTGATCTTGGTTCTAGCCTAGGCTAAATAAAAAAACCTTTTTTTTTTTTTGAAAAATGAAATTTCACGAGCATCAAGTTCTTCTTTAGCCTTCGTCATCACGTGCTGAAGTTTCAAATGATTCGGTGCATTCAGTTTGGAGAAGTTTTATAAATATGTTGACGATTTGATATATAGAATGATCATTTCATATCACATTAAGGTGTTATGAAAAGGTGATCCTCAATATTAATAAAACTTTTCTCCAAATTCGACGCACCGAATCATTTCACACCTCCGTACGTGATTATAAAGGCCCTAAGGAAGACGGCCATGCTCGTAAAATTTAATTTTTCACAAAAAAAAATGTGATCTTGGTTCTAGTCTAGCATGAATAACAATTTTAATTTTTTAAATGAAATTTCACGAGCATCACGTTCTTCCTTAGTCTTCGTCATCACGTGCTGAAGTTTCAAATGATTCGTGCACCCAGTTTGGAGAAGTTTTATAAATATTTTGACGATTTGATATATAGAATGACCCTTTCATAATACCTTAAGGTGATATAAAAGGGTGATTCTCAATATTTATAAAACTTTTCTAGTCTAGGATAAATAACAATATTTCTTTATTGAATGAAATTTCATGAGCATCACGTTCTTCCTTAGTCTTCATCATCACGTGCTGAAGTTTCAAATGATTCAGTGCCCCCAGTGTGGAGAAAACTTTTATAAATATTTTCACATTTTGATATGTCGAATGACCCTTTTATATCGCCTTAAGTGATGCTGCAGCAAGGCAGCCTGCATTTCATAAGTTTTATTTGCTTGCGAGATACACAATTTGTATACTCTGCCGATTTACAGACGGACAAGTCTCCGTTGGCCTCGTCGACGAGTGGTCCTCAGCGAGACTCTTGAGTTCGAAAAGAATTCTGCTTTTTTTCCCGCTAGAGGGCAAACCCTGTTGTTTACTATTATGTGTATAATTTAACAATATCCACTATTGCACTGCGCGATCCAAATACGAGAGCCAGCAAACCGATGATGCAGATGATGACATTTTTTACGGCCACCCAATTTCCGGGCCCGAAGCCGATCTCCCAATATGTGACAGTCTCGATGAAGACGGGGATCAGCAAACCCAAAATTGAAAAGCAAAACGCTCCAATCAGACTGATGAACGGACTTATCGTCGGCACGGCTACTGCTAGCAGAACTGAAACATATAAAATTAAACATGTTAACATTTAAACATTTAAACGTTCTCCCCTTAATTGTCTTATTGATGTAATCAGATGGTAAATTGTAAATCGTTAGAGGCGAAATGTACATCGAGGCGTGAGATTAAATTCAAAAATAAAATTTATAAGAGTGTTTAATGGACTAATAAACGGGTATCATTGTTCAGGAGAAGTATGTCACGCGAAAGGAATATAAAATTAATTATATATCGAGTTAACGATTATTCTTTCGTTGAATTGTTGGAGGAATCTAGTTACACCTTCCCCTATGTATTTTTCGCTATCTCTGTGGAGGAAATTCAGGATACTTAAATTTAGGATGAACGTAATCCTTAGAATGTCCTGATTAAGATAAACTCTTGATACAGAGGTTTCGAAGCATTTATTAGTTAGGTAATGCGCTCGTTTAACCGTTTATGAAACCTTTCCTCGAACTGAGCATACCGACGCGTTTCAAACTTGACCAGTTATAAATAAATTATCTTAAAATTGAAATTTCATGGGCGGCGTCAGGACCTTCCTTATAGCCTCCATGGTCACGTTGTAAATATTGAAACGATTCGATACACCCAGTTCATAGAAAAGTTTCATAAACGAGACCTCCGTGTAGCCTCTTTCACATCAGCTTAAGATGATATGAAAGGCGCTGATAAATTTAGTAGAGGTCGATGAATTAAAATTTATCTATACCCTTTTTAGTGGTAACGTCATTTTGAATACTCAAAGTGGTAACATCAGCTGGCGCGTCACGTTATCGACATTTATATTCATTTTGAAATCTTTTACAGTCTACGATGAAAATTATACGAACTAAAACGTTCTATATGCCATTTCAGTAAAGTAATGATGAAGAGATCGATGTAAAACTGTCGAAATCCCGTAAATTTATTATTCTAACGTCTATTTAGAACCAACGTCGCCATCTGTGACGTTTAGCTGCAACGTTGCCATCTGTAACGTTTAGCTGCAACTAGATTTTTTCTCTAAAAACACGTGTTAGCTCCGAGACAAGTCAGCATTCTCTTGCAATCGTTGGTGAAAGTATTTTCCATACTTTCCCATTTGACTTTGTAATATTCCATTTCTACGATATTCTAAATTGTTCGAGCTAGGTCCAGGAACTCTTCATTTTCGATTCTGAGCCTCCAAGAAGCGTAAAACATCGAAAACGTGCACGGACCACGCCATGTTGCTTCTAGTACATGATAAATAAATTAATTTTTTATGAAAAATGATATTTAATGAGTTTCAAAACCTACTTTAGGGCCTCACGTGGTAGAGTTTGAAAGGAATCGGTACACTTCATTCGGAAAATACTTTCACTAACGATTTGACTTCTCTGAGATATATATAGGCTAACTCTTTCACATCAGCTTAATTCGCATTACATACTTTATATAGAAATAAATAAGCAAAAAATGATGTTACTACTTTGAGGATCTTTAGATTAAATTTTTGGGAGGGAATATTCATTGCAAACTAAATGTTTACCTGCACCAGTTACCAGAATAGTCCGAAGGACATAATTGGCTAACAAAGGTCTCTTCTGGAAATGATCTTTAATACCGCTCCATGCAATGTCAAGGCACACGTAAAATTGCAAACCAAATGTGCAATAGACAGCCAAAGCTATCAGGATCTTTACCACTTGTGCGGGTCTAAAACATCGAAAGAGCATAAATTAACGAATGCCTATAAGTATCTCCAATTATGTGACTTGGAATTGAAAAATTAGTTTTACATTTCCTCCGTTGGCAAGCTCAGGGTAATGCTGTCCAAAGTGTTGTCTTGGTACTTAACGTATCCCAGGAATCCAAGAAGAATGTAGATCAATGTAACTCCAGACATTCCCTTGTTCAGGACACCGCAGATTCCGACGAAATGCTGCGGAGTTTTCATATTGTTTTCCAGCGGCATTACCACTCCTGAGGAAGATACAATTTACGTTAATATCCCTCGAGTACCAAATAGGATTATTTATCCTCGATTCCTGTTTCAAATAGAAAACCAATGTTTATCTCTTAAGGTGAAGTGAAACCCTCCTCAAATCAGTCGATTTGAATAAGACACCTTTTTTTAACAGTACTGGACCGAACTGTCCGAAACTTTGTCACATGACTCGTGATCACCTAAGAATTGTCCTGACACTGAAAATTTCAATTTTCGAAGAAACCTTTTTTTTGACTTAGTCCACACCAGAACCAAAACGACGCCGAGCTCTCATATTTCGATCGAGACACAATTATTCAAGGCTTTGGTATGAAAAACAAAAGTGTCAGGACAATTGTACAACGATTTAGAACACTCTAGATATCGAGAAACTCGCATTTGAACGGGATAAAGGCAAAAAAAGTGTCTTATACACTTCTATGCTAAAACGAAGGTAACACGAGGTCTCGGAGAGAAAATTTAGTTGCCATTAAAATCACAGATGGCGCAGGATGGCACTGTACAGTGAATTAGGGCATCTCAAACCATGAATCCAAGGGATTTCTGGAGTTTTACTTAGATTTCTTTACAATTATTGTACGAAAACGACATACGGAGTATGCCATTTAGTACAATACCCAGTATAATTCGAAAAACCTGTCGATATAAATACGAACGTTGGTAACATAGGTATTCAGAAGAATCCTTTTACCGCCATCAATCAAATTCCTCGACGTGTTTCACTTCACCTTAATCTATGCGGTTAAATCTGTTTGATGCATGGTCATTGGACTCTATTTCTTTACCTATAGCCTCCATGGCAAATATCGTAATGCTGAAGAACTGCGGAAATTCGCTAATTGGTGCAATAAGAGGCACCGAGTTCAAAGGTGGCATGTCCCAGACAAGGTAGTAAAACGTTATTCCTAGACCTGAGGCCATAAATATGTTAGCCACCATGGACACTGGCGCGAGATACTTCAAATTAGGTATCCAGCTCAACAATATCATAGGTGCCAAAAGACAAGCGATAACGTGTCTCTCGTTGGCCTCGAATCCTCGATAGTGATTAAAGATTTGTCGGAAATTCTCCGCGACGATTACGGCGTACACGCTGCAGGTGCCGAAGTACGTTGCAAAAAGGCTTATCTGTATTAAATACCTGAAAAGAGAAAGAAATGCAGGATTTATTATTGATTTTATGAAACGGTATCTTTTGTAATATCACATTATATTAGGAGAATATCATTGAGGGGGTTCGAAACCTCAATTTTAAATGATGGAATCGAGCTTGCGAGCATCTCAATTTCTCATTATTTTTTAGAGCTGATATATAAAAGTACAGTGGGACTTCTATAACGCTAAAAATTGCACTGCTGATCTCATATAAACCAATTAAAAGATTGCGGAAGAAAAACTCATTCGTGGCGTGAATACATTTGCATTCATTTTGTGCGATAAGGAGGTTCTGTTTAAAGTGCATATTATGGAACAGTTATTTCTGCAGAATTAGTTGTACGTCGAAAAGACATTTATTTTGATTAGGACATTGCCAATTGAAAGACGGACAAATTCGGAAGTTGAAGGAAGTTCGATCGTCGAAGAAGGTGGACCAGCACCCAAAATGCGATATCGGTAAAACTTAATTTCAAGCAATTCTGACGGTGATTAGTTTTTAGTTTTACATGTCCTTTAAGTTATTTCGTGGATGGAGTGAAAATAAAAATTGTACGTTTGTTCTTATAAAATAAAATAATAGGCACGGTATCTTCTCTTATATTAAATATAGACTACTTATTCAGTTCTAACTTTTGGTTCTCGACATTTCTAATGTGACATATATCTTTAGCGTTATGGAAGGTTCCACTTGATTTAAAACATTAATAAATGTTCGTCTGAACCAGAGGACCCATTACAAAAGTGTTAAACAAAATTCCATACAGAAATAATTTTTCTTATTTCTATATACCCTCTGAAGAATTCATATAACACGATAATTTGTTATATACTTTAGTCAGCAAACTGTCCCTTCAATATAAATATTTACTCATCGATATTACAGACAACTGATCGTTCTGTCCTTGGAAAATAATGAAAAATTCATATTACCGGTAATTAGGCATTCATGAACCAGCTTATAACTTGGCCAAGGGTTGATAGAATATACACAATGAAAATGAATTATTTATATTATGAAAGTGCATTGTTTATATAATGAAAGTACATTACCTAAAGGGCTTTGCTAAAGACCTTCCCCACGATGGACCCGTCGTAAAGGCCACTTCCGCTACGTCGGCAAAACTCATTTCCGTTCTCCGAGCTTTATAATATAAGACGTGGGCGCATTTAACCTGAAAAGGAAGTAATACAAAGTATTAATTACCGATCCCCGGGCGAGTGAACGATAAAAGAATACTAATCAATTATCTTAAAAGCCATTTATCATTTAATCGCTAATATCTTAAATCGCCAATTTAATTCCAAAGGAATTCGATAAGCTTTCGCAATCTTTCTTAATAATAATTTATATAGATATTCGTAATAAAGGATTACACTTGTAAATACTCACTAGAATGTATGCACAATGTGTGCAAACAAAAGCAACGAGTATCGTTGCAAAAACCCCGACAAGCAGACCTGCACTCTTAAAAGCGACCGGCATGGCTAAAATCCCAGTACCGAGAGAAGCTTTTAACAAATGCGTTAAAGTGTCACAATCCCTGGAAAATCACAAAGAGAAAGAATTACTTTTCGATCTGCGGTAAAAGAGAAAAATGATATATATAACAAAAAAAAATAAAACGAGTAAAGTTCACTCTCAATATACCGGCGATCCAGTACGAAGAACCAAAGTAAATTAAAGTCTGCATTTTGATTAGCAATTGATTAAAAAAAATAAATACATAAAAGTAAAATAATGTAAACAAATTTGCGATGGCCATTGTCTTATATTACGAATCTTATCAAGGTGATATGAAAGAGTCAGCATATATACATATATCTGAGAAGTCAAATCGTTGGGGAAAGTATTCTCAGAATTGGGTGTACCGATTCGTTTCAAACTTTACCACGTGAATATGGAGGCTCTAAAATAGGTCCTAAAACTCATGAAATTTCATTTTTCATGCAAAATTTATTTATTTAGACTAGAAGCAACATGGCGTGGTCCGTGCACGTTTTCGATGTTTTACGCTTCTTGGAGGCTTAAAATCGAAAATAAAGAGTTTTAGGATCTAGCTCGAACAATTTAAAATACCGTAGAAACTGAATATTACAGAGTCAGACGAGAAAATATGGAAAATACTTTCACCAACGACTGCAAGAGAATGCTGGCTCGTCTCGGGGCTAACACGTGTTTTTAGAGCAACCATTTAGTTGCAGCTAAACGCCACAGATGGCGGCGTTGGTCCTAAACAGTCATTAGAATAATGAATTCACGGGATTTCGGCAGTTGTACGTCGATCTTTTTATCATTATTTTACTAAAACGGTATACAAAACGTTGCATTTCGTATAATTGTCAACGTAGACTGTGAAAGACTTAAAGATGAATATAAATGTCGATAACGTGACGCGCCAGCTGATGTTACCACTTTGAGTATTCCAAATGACGTTACCCCCGAAAAGGGTATAAATGAATTATAATTTATCGACCTCGATTAAATTTCTCAGCGTCTTTCATATCATCTTAAGTAGTACACAGTACAGGGGCACTGAAAAGTTGGAAAATCGCGATCGCAAATAGCAATTGCAATATAGAGATGCACGTACAGAGTGCGCTTGCAAGGTTTCTTCAATCAATTGCAGTACACTTATGTGGATTTAAAAACAGATGGAATTTATTTTAAAGAAGCGATTTATTTTACTCTTGTCTAGTGAATTTGACAAATGGAAATCGATATCGCGATTGCAACTAAACGTTACGTGCAGAATTCGAATGTATGAACGATTTAATCCGTCATCGATATTCAAGCCCCTGTTCCATTTTGGCTGATATTTCGTTACTTCGGATCGCGCGAACAGGATTATCGGTATCTCGAGAGATTTACTTGTGATAAGTAACCATACGTTGTCGCATTTTCAACTTTGCGCTCCGTAAAAGGGTCAAAGCTCTTTCCATCTGCTTGGCCATTTTCGACGTCCTTCGGGGCGATCTTACATCTGAAACAAAGTAAGGAAAGTTGTAAAATATTTCTACAATTTATTAAGGTGTTATGGAGGTGTCATATATATATATATATATATATATGCTTAAACGTCAAAAATGTTTATAAAACTTTTCTCCAAATTGGACACATCGAATCGTTTGAAACTTCATCACGAGATTATGGAGATCCTAAGGAAGAACGCGATGTTTGTGAAATTTCATTTGTCCGAAAAAAAAATTTGTATTTATCTCGAATATGAACTAAAAAAGAAATTTTTTTCGAAAAATGAAATTTCACGGGCATCGCGTTTTTTCTTAGGGCCTCCATAGTCACGTGTTAAAGTTTCAGATAATTCGGTGCACGCAGTTTGGAGAAAAGTTTTATAAACATTTTCACATTTTTATATATATATAGATGTCTAGAAATATTTTTTTAAATTCTATCAAGAGTATCGGTGAGATGGGAATTAAATCTAGTCGGTCGACGGAATTTATTCAAGTTGAATGAAAAGAGGTAAATGCAAGTGAGTCACAGATGGCGAATTAACAATAAAACGAGGAGAATTAGCAAACAATGAGGTAGCTCTCTTGCAACGGTCTTTAGTTGTTGAATAAGCAATGCCAGCAAAGAGGTCATTCCTCTGCGGATAGTATATACCGTCTGTTGTCTCAACGAAAGAGACGTAATTAAATCATCCTTACTTAACAAGTTCATTGTACAGTAATTCGCAATCGCAATTTATATCGCAAAAACCGTCTCTTAGCCTCGCTCTAGATCCATATCTCCCGGAGATGTAAAAAAGGAAAGTATCTGAGATCAACAATTCGATATGTCTCGATGACTAGCGACTTATCGTATCGGGCAATTACCAGGTAATTGAGATTACATGTCCGGTAATAATAGTCTATCTCGATGTGAACTTATTTCTGCTCCGATGAAACATCCTTTTTCTCTCATTATCCGCTCCACTAACTTTGTCCGGATATTTTTTATAAATTTATGTTACCATGGAATTTTTATTGACAATATCTTAGAAGGATTGAGTCTAATAGATTTCGTAATTTCAATGTAAAAGTAACGATTTTTTGCTTTCTGTTTAATACCTGATTTTTCCTACAGGTCCAATTCACGCAGAAGAAATAATTTATCTGTAAATCTTGATTCTATATTATTTATATGGTGTGGACTGACGTTGAATTTCGTAAAGGGAATATTTTTTTCTACTTAGTTTACCTTCTAGTTCTAGCAAAGAATATCCGTATTATATGGTTTTCTATCCCGTTAAGAGGAAAGCATTATAGGTTTATTTAATTCTTTAACAAAATATGTGTAGTAAACTGCTTTAAATTGTATTTTTGAAATATAAGTATGGAAACTTGTAATCTGAATAAATTGTGCACTTTATAAGCCCAGGAGATTAACATTTTTAATTCCATTCTATTCGTCTTCTTACCAGGATAATAACGACGCGTTTTGCTAATTATCGACGTTACGACCCTGGTAGCACAAAATATTTGTCCTACATTTTCAATATATTTAACGAATATCGTACATTTTGTAAACATTTAGCAGACATTTGAAATATTTGCAAAATGTTTACTTTAGAATATTATCTTTATAATATTTTTATAATATTAGCTCCATGTGTTTTCATAATATTTTTCTAACAGATATACAAAACATTTCGTTTCGTTTTATATAATAATAATTTATATAGATATTCGTAATAAAGGATTACACTTGTAAATACTCACTAGAATGTATGCACAATGTGTGCAAACAAAAGCAACGAGTATCGTTGCAAAAACCCCGACAAGCAGACCTGCACTCTTAAAAGCGACCGGCATGGCTAAAATCCCAGTACCGAGAGAAGCTTTTAACAAATGCGTTAAAGTGTCACAATCCCTGGAAAATCACAAAGAGAAAGAATTACTTTTCGATCTGCGGTAAAAGAGAAAAATGATATATATAACAAAAAAAAATAAAACGAGTAAAGTTCACTCTCAATATACCGGCGATCCAGTACGAAGAACCAAAGTAAATTAAAGTCTGCATTTTGATTAGCAATTGATTAAAAAAAATAAATACATAAAAGTAAAATAATGTAAACAAATTTGCGATGGCCATTGTCTTATATTACGAATCTTATCAAGGTGATATGAAAGAGTCAGCATATATACATATATCTGAGAAGTCAAATCGTTGGGGAAAGTATTCTCAGAATTGGGTGTACCGATTCGTTTCAAACTTTACCACGTGAATATGGAGGCTCTAAAATAGGTCCTAAAACTCATGAAATTTCATTTTTCATGCAAAATTTATTTATTTAGACTAGAAGCAACATGGCGTGGTCCGTGCACGTTTTCGATGTTTTACGCTTCTTGGAGGCTTAAAATCGAAAATAAAGAGTTTTAGGATCTAGCTCGAACAATTTAAAATACCGTAGAAACTGAATATTACAGAGTCAGACGAGAAAATATGGAAAATACTTTCACCAACGACTGCAAGAGAATGCTGGCTCGTCTCGGGGCTAACACGTGTTTTTAGAGCAACCATTTAGTTGCAGCTAAACGCCACAGATGGCGGCGTTGGTCCTAAACAGTCATTAGAATAATGAATTCACGGGATTTCGGCAGTTGTACGTCGATCTTTTTATCATTATTTTACTAAAACGGTATACAAAACGTTGCATTTCGTATAATTGTCAACGTAGACTGTGAAAGACTTAAAGATGAATATAAATGTCGATAACGTGACGCGCCAGCTGATGTTACCACTTTGAGTATTCCAAATGACGTTACCCCCGAAAAGGGTATAAATGAATTATAATTTATCGACCTCGATTAAATTTCTCAGCGTCTTTCATATCATCTTAAGTAGTACACAGTACAGGGGCACTGAAAAGTTGGAAAATCGCGATCGCAAATAGCAATTGCAATATAGAGATGCACGTACAGAGTGCGCTTGCAAGGTTTCTTCAATCAATTGCAGTACACTTATGTGGATTTAAAAACAGATGGAATTTATTTTAAAGAAGCGATTTATTTTACTCTTGTCTAGTGAATTTGACAAATGGAAATCGATATCGCGATTGCAACTAAACGTTACGTGCAGAATTCGAATGTATGAACGATTTAATCCGTCATCGATATTCAAGCCCCTGTTCCATTTTGGCTGATATTTCGTTACTTCGGATCGCGCGAACAGGATTATCGGTATCTCGAGAGATTTACTTGTGATAAGTAACCATACGTTGTCGCATTTTCAACTTTGCGCTCCGTAAAAGGGTCAAAGCTCTTTCCATCTGCTTGGCCATTTTCGACGTCCTTCGGGGCGATCTTACATCTGAAACAAAGTAAGGAAAGTTGTAAAATATTTCTACAATTTATTAAGGTGTTATGGAGGTGTCATATATATATATATATA